TTTGGTCTAACCTCAATCCCTCCTGCTGCAAAGAAACTCCCTTTCTCCTGGCTGAGTCTCTGTCAAGGCCGAGAGCAGAGGCCCTCCTCTGCCGAGGGACATCCTTCAAGTCTTGACATTCCTGGCTTCCCAAGACCCTCCTGCCTCGGCCTGGCTGAAGGAGCAGCTCTCAGCCACGTTGGGTCCAACGACCAGCCCTTCACCCCTCCCGTTACCTCTCACTCCCTCTTCTTGGACCCCTTCTGTGGTTCACGCAACCCCAGGCAGGAGGTCAGATCCCTCCCTCAGCAGCCCAGCCACGCCCCAAGTTCAAAATTCTGCCAAGTCAGGGCTGCAAACAATGAACTCCACCCCTCCTGCTAACGTTGATGAGTTCTTCTACGTGCTCTGTCACTCATATAACAAGGAGAACTGGACAAAAAAGAGAGAAAGAAAAGAGAGCAAAACCCACTGCCATCGAGTTTATTCTGACTCATAGTGACGCCATAGGACAGAGTAGAACTGCCCCTTTGGTTGTAAACCTCTACTGGGACAGAAGCCTTCATCTTCCTCCCGAGGGGTGGCTAGTGGAGTTGAACTGCTCACCTAGCCATTGGCAACCCAACACTCACAATCCATGGAGCCACTGGGCTTCCAAAAGAGAACAGCCTCAAGAAGATCTCCTGTCATCGCACCCACAAGCATCAACGACTGTGCCAACAGTCTCCCTTTGCAAGTGAAGAAACCGGTTCAGAGAGGGACAATAACTTGCTCGGGGTCACACAGCAAGTGAGGAGGTGAGACTAGAAGCCAAGTGATCTGCCGGCCAAGTGGTGGTTCTGCACCAGCAGCCTCTGCGCCACAGCAGCTTCCAGCGCTCACGGTGCCCACACTTCCACCATCACTGCCCTTCCCCGCCTCCACTTCCCTCTCATCACCCCGAAGTCCAGGATGCAGCCTGTCCCAGTTACTACGGACCATTCAAATGAAGGACGCTGTGGCAGACTCAAACTCATTCTGTCACTTAACCGCCTGCCGCCGACCACAGCCCCTCCCCCCTTGCCAGCCTCTCCCAGGGCTGTCTCATCCCATCCAAGGGGCGCCTGTAGCTCTGAAGCCCAGTCTCTGGCTAATTCTCTCTGTCAGGGGCTTGAAGCAAATTCCCACCCTCCAGAGCCTGGAAAAGTCGAGGTGCAAGAGGAGAGAATGAAAACCCACGTGGGGAAAACAGTCCTCCTGCATAAGATGAGGGAGTCGAGGTGGACCCCACGTGGGAAAGGAGGCATAGGAGAACTGGGTTGGGGAGAAGCCCTGTGTGCAGGACGGTTAGAACCAGGAGGGCACACTAGGCTGACATGGAGGGCTTGGTGCAGGGGGACAGTAAGTTGTTCCTTCAAGAGTGCACAGGCCTGTCTGTCTGTCTCTGCTGGTATCAACCAGGGGAAAGAGGAGAGTGAGGCTGTCTGTCCCAGAGGACATTCCCACTGTCCCACCAGGTCTCCAGATCCCATTCAAAAGGGGGCTGGATCTGCATGGCCTGGCTGGCAGGGAAGAGAAACAGGCGGAATCGCAGGGGCACAAGCTGTGGCCAGTTTCCCATCCCTGCTCAACAGAAGGCAGCCTTGCTTGGGATGGCCAGGAAGTCCCCACGGCTGGCCCTCTGTCCTCTTCTGAGCCGGAGCCGACTGCCTCGGAAAGCCCCCTTTCCTGGGGTCCCCCCAGTGTCCTTCCAGGAGGGAAAGAGAGGACCAGGCTGTCTGTGACTGAAGCTTCCACCCTCACTCCTGCATCCTAAATATTTGGGGCAGTGGGTCCCTGCCCACCTGTCCGCAGCCCAGGGAGCTCCTGGCCCCAGCGGGCAGCCCCCCACCCGAGGACATCAGCACCCGGTCCGCCCCGGCCCCAGACCCCCGACCCTACAGACCTACCGGCTCCGGGTTGGGGTCTCAGCGCCCGGGCAGCCTCCCTGAGCACCAGCGCCAGGAGCCAGAGCTCGCCCCGCATGGTGGTGCGGGACCCG